CTGCTCGAGCGCAATAAGACCCGCTCGAGCGCCAAGACACAAGAATAAAGCACATCCGCTCGAGCGTGAAAACCAGTCCGCTCGAGCGTAGATTTCCCCCTCCCAGAACTTACACCCAAAGGTACTACTGTCACGACCCAAACCCGGCCCTATGGGTTTAGCACCGTAACCGGCCAGTAATCCGAGATTACCGAAGGCCTGCAGAACAGTAATACAGTAAAACAGAGTACAGGGCCTGGCGGAAGCCAAAACAGTAAATAAACAATGCCCAATGAGCTGTGACAGTCTGTATGCCAAAAAGATTTTTCATGTATTCATATAATCACAACAGTACAGGCTATACAAGCATTTACAGACATTCAGTACAGGGATCTAATCCCTTGATAACAGTACAGTACAGCAGTGCAGTACAGTAATACAAACAGTAACAGGGACTAGCGGGGGAAAAGACACCCCAAGCCATAGCATGGCGAACTCGGAACCTCGCAGTGAGGCACGGTGGTTGGCTTGACAAAACTGGAAAACCCTGACGCCTCTAGCTTTGATCCGGTGCCTGTACACCTACATATATATATGAGCAGTGAGCTAAAGCCCAGTGAATAACATAAAGCGTAAAGGGGTTTAGAATGAATGTCCTTACAGTAATGAAAACAGTTCAAATTCAATCAGTATTTCAGTTGTTCAGTACAATAAACAGTCATATGTGGTACATCCATTAACATAACAGTAACAGTAGGTCTTAAAAGACCGAACAGTAATGATGGCCATCAGTCAGAAAACAGTAGTGGCTCCACGAGGGAACCGACAGAGATCTCTGTAACAGTAACAGTAACAGTAAACAGTAGGTACTAAGGATGCCACAGTACAGTTCAGAAATAAAGGACATACATTCATTCAGTAATACCAGTTCAATAAACAGTTCAGTTCAGTATTCAAAAGATAATCAGTTGAACATATCTTTACACAATTGTTACTCACAGAGGTTGGGCTACAGTATGCTAGAGCGTGTCTCCCTTTTCCCAAATTAATCATACCAATTAATTTATACAGCCAATTAGGGTTTTCTACCCCATTTTCCAATATTGACCCAATGGTCTAAATATCAACAACCAACATCAATAACACCATTTTGAACCCAAAATACATATTATGAGCCCAAAATCACAAAACCCTCTTTAACACATTTTGAAACCCTAAGTCCCAAAATTTTCCCAACTTCAACACTTTATCAAAACAACCAAAAATCTAGGTCAAAGACCATAAGAGTGAGTAGGAATCCCTACCTCAAAAGTTGACACCCATCGAAGAAGATGATAAAAACGAAGTTGCTCCAAATCACAAGTTTCTCGGATCAAAAGATAGCCCTCGACGATGAACAACCTTTTTGTAAAGGCCAAAGGTGAGGAAACAACTCTAACTAGATCAATACCTAGAGAGAAGGCAAGGTTTTAGAGAGAGAAGCTCTCAAATGGCGTTTTGGAAAAGTAAGAGAGAGAGTGTGAATGCAAAAAGTGATTTTAAAAAGCCCAGCTGTCAACTGATATACGATATTCCCGCTTGAGCGGAGAACACAACGCTCGAGCGTCAAGAACAAAAAAACTAGGTCCGCTTGAGCGCAATAAGACCCACTCGAGCGCCAAGACACAAGAATAAAGCACATCCACTCGAGCGTGAAAACCAGTCCTCTCGAGCGTAGATTTCCCCCTCCCAGAACTTACACCCAAAGGTACTACCCGATCGAG